ATTTTAGAAATCAAACGAAATTTTCGTTAGATAGATGATTTCAAATGAAAACATTTGGACATCCAAACGATCTCAAATTAAAAAGTTTAAACTACAAAGTTGTATATGTCGTCGAGTACTACAATTTTGATATAAAGTTTGTCTTTATCGGACATCATATGAGAAACTTATGAAGTTTTTTTTTTGTAGCATATCACTGTCCGTTCAAGCCACAAACCACAACGATAATATTAGTTTCGGTTCTTAGCTAAAACCGCAAGTGATGACCCAATATCACCGCCGGTTCTTGACTAAAACTAATAAATGATGATATGAATTGACAAGAAGACCGAATATCGATTGTCGGTTGGTCCTATCACTATCGGTTTTAGTCAAAAACCGACAGTAATAAGCTATCACTGTAGATTTCTTAAAATCTGGCTGTAGCAGTGTCTGTGAAGGAAGTTTATTATGAACCGGCTGCTGTAAAAGGTTTTTTGTGTGGTAGTGGTGCCTCAGTATGTGTGCCATCAAGGTTCATCCATCCATCGCACACAGTACACAAATATCAGCTCATTCTGAAAGTAACGCATTGACATAGCGTTGGTGATGTTCCGGGAGTGTACTACGGTGCTTGCCGAATAGAGCAGCTCCCATTCATTCACACGTGAAGCCTGTGAAGATTCAAAGGATGGTAAGGTTGCGAGAGTTTGAACATGAGTAGCCACACATGAACGACTCTAGTTTCGAATTTCAGAAAATAAAAGGTTTCACCTGTATCCATTATTGAGCGAGGTTTCATGCATGTGTCGTTTCTCCAAATCAAGAAAGCCAGCATATATTACGTTACTTTATATATTATTTCCCATATTTCCATATGGATGTAGCCTGTTCGTTTGACTGTAGTGGCTGTAAATGCGATCGTAAATTTCAAGTAGTAAACGTATTTTTCTTTTACACAAACCAAATTAGTAGAGTACTTCTTCACGAACCAAATAACGATAATCTGAACCAAATAAATCCGAATGGGCAATGCATAATATTACGGTTAATTTGTAGAATTTAGAATATTATTGCATGTACAACATGAGCAAACTTACCGGAGTAGACAATTTAACTTGTCCTTTTTTGAAACGACGGCAAGAGTTTTGCCGCAATTTTCATTAAACAAGAATTGCAGCAACGAGCCTAAGCCGTGATCAAAAGAAACACCAAAACACGATAACAAGCCCCTGACCACTCTTAGATGAATGAAAAAAGACAAGAAAGCACACCACTAGACCCTGGCTTGGGCACTGGAACTACTAACCACAAAACCCGGAGAAAAGAAGAACAACTACACTGAAGAGAGGTTCGAAAGCATTGGCAAGTTGTACTGGGAGATGCCATCTTTGCACAGAGAAATCTTTCAAGGTAGATTTATTTTGTATAAGCTTCTTAAACATCTATACTATGTAGTAGCAGTAATAATTTAGGTTTATGTCGAGTACTAGTAGTTTATCTTCGCAAAAAAAATTCTAGTAGTTTATAATGAGCTCCCTAAGACATGCATGTTCATCACATATTCACATGCACCGTATGTACACACATGGACATGAACATATGCATGTTTCTTGGAGACTAGCTTGAACGACGACCATTACTATTTGCTCTTGCTTGCTTTAATTTATCTCTGGACTCGTATATTGATATAAATTGAACTCTCTGGAGAGTACTGCTGTATCTAGTGATGTGTAGTCTGTAGTGCATCCGGGACTGGACGACGTACGGTATATGTGAAGCTAGCACAGACGTACGTGGCTATGCCAGTGTACACAGTACTGCTGACCTGTGAACCATGGATCAGAGAAAGGTGCCAAATGGGCGATGACATACTCTCACATGCGTTGCCGGGTGACAGACATGAAAGTTGTACCCTGCCTCGATCTGTATGCATGCTCCTCCGCATCCTCCCTCGTGCTACACTACTACCTCTGTCCCATATATAGAAAGGATAATTCCAAGGACATCCTTTCGTTTGGGCTGAATCACACAATCTACTTTGTGAACTGGACTATTTGGCTAATATTTCACGACTTTTAATTTACAGACTGTGTCAAATTCAGAGGGCAAGAAATGGAAAGCAAGACAGTAAGAAATGGAAAGTGAGATTCATAGCCACCGCCGTCTGATCTCCTTCACTCGTCTGATCTCCTTCACTCGTCTCTCGTGAGTCCCGGCACAAATATTAAGCTCCTTGTGGGATATCCTAATGTTGTCATCAAGCTCTCGCCAGGGGTAACACTTCAATTATTAAGATCTGAACTGGAATGTAATTATTCTTGATTCAATTATACAGAAACAAACAGGTTGTAACAGTATGGAGTCAAACCTTCTTAAGTTTAACTAAATTTGTTTAAAATACTACTTCCTCCGTTCCAAAAACTTAGTTTTGTTCTAAGTCAAACTATTTTAAGTTTGACCAAATTTATAAAAAAATACTAACATTTATGACACTAAATAAATATACTATGAAAATATATTGCATGACAAATCTGATGATACTTTGGTAGCACAAACATTAATATTCTAGTGTATTAAATTTGGTCAAACTTTAGATAGTTTAACTTAGGACAAAACTAAAACATCAAGTTCTTTGGGACAAAGGGAGTAATATTTAACATATTAAATATATATATATTTCAAGTCATAAATGTTAATATTGTATTTATAAACTTATCCAAAATTAAAATAGTTTGTTTTTTCGAGCTAGCTTAAGGGTTTGTATGCACTCGTATTCATCTCACCTCAGTCCATATGCATATTCACCTCAGTCACATATGGATTGAGACGTGAATACGAGTGCATTCAAAAATTCCAAACAAATTCTAAGAGTTTCCACTAAGGAACTAAAGGTTGAAGAGATAACGTTAGACTTAGGGTAGCTCCAATAGTAACTTATGAGTTAGCTCTAAGTATATTATTTTATATTTTAATAAAAGAGAGAAGCTATCTCTTAGTCAAAAGGTAGTCTCATACATACATTCCAAATTCAATAAAATTTCCAGTAGGGGTTTCCCCCCCTCCTGTTCCATCAATAAAATTATATAGATATGTCATGTAAGACCATTCATATTACGAGTTATGTACTGAAAGCTAATATTATTGAAAAAAATTGTCTTAGAACTTAGTAACTGTCATATACGTTGTCCTTGCGGGGTAACTATCACGTACTATTGAAGTTGTCCTTACGGATCGGAGCTAGCTGCTAGCCAACAATTGCTGTAGCGTTGCAGCTTTCCAATAGTACGAGCCTATCACTATGCTACTAGCTAGTAGCTAGCATCAACACAAAACCTTTGGTTGTTTTTTATCAATGTGCATATCTGATAGCAAGAGGCGTTCGGCAACACTCCCTTTTGTTCTACCCGCTACCTAGAATATCTGGCAGTAAAAATCTTGGTTCTCTTTTTTTTATTAGAGTAAAAATCTTGGTAAAAATGCCTCCAGCACAAACATAGAATGATCACATACATATGCCGTTTAATTTGAAACGTTGTTAGCTCGTGTTTGCAAATACTCCATTCATGGTCTTTTTTCTCGAATACGTTAATGATGCAGCATCAACTCTTTTAGCCAGAACGAAATAGTTGCAATAATAATAGCACAATCAATAAAATAATTTGGTCTTGTTTTTGCCTCATTTAATTTCATCTTTATGTACCACGAAAGCAAACTCATCATCAAAACACACAGTCCAGACACACACATATACATGGCCAACAGGACCGTACGGACACGGCACTAGCACTAGCACTAGCACGATTGAACACAACACGGCTAGGCACCACATTATATGGCACGGTGGCTTAGCCATGCCTGATAGTACCGTCGTGCCGAAGTTGAGGCCTAGCAATGGCACTATGTGGACTTAGCCGTGCCGTGCCGTGCCTTGTCGATGGGCACGACGGCCCGCTAGACCTGTGTTGGTTCGAGGTCGCTGCAGCCACTGTGAGACGCACCGTTGCCGCACGAGCAATTGTGAGCCACATTGGCATCCCGTGCCATCGCCGTCACAGTTGGGACACACCGTCGAGCGCCGCGCACAAGCGCCGCGCCATCGTGCGCGGCGCCGCCACCACCACAGGCCCTCGGCTGCGCACCGCCGCCGTGAGGACCCGTCCATGGTCTAGCGCCCTCGGCTGCGTGTGCGGTGCCTGCCGGTACGCGTGAGGAAAAGAGAAGAGAGACAGTAGGAGGTTAGGGTTTGGGAGAGATGGAGAGGTGCTTATATACTTGTGCTTTGAATCCAACGGCTCTGATTCATCATGTATGCATCCAACAGCTGAAATACATCGGATACCAGTCCAAAAATTGTGCCGTGCCCGTGCCAGACCTATAGGCCGGAGTCGGAGCCTAGGCACGACACTATGACGGTACCCATGCCGGCACTGGCACTATGAAGCTTCATGTTGTGCCGGCTGTGCTTTTTTTGGAGCGTGCTCGTGCCAGCCCATCGGGCCTGGTCCATTTGTCCCTCTACGCGCGCGCACACACGGAGGGAGAGAGAGGGAGGGCAGCGCTGCATAGTCATTCTGGTGACCACTGACCACGCAAAAAACGAGCAGACACAGACACAGCATCATTTTATCCCCTCTTTCAATCTCCAAGCTACCAGGTAGCAGCCATTCCCGGGCAAGATGGTTTCAGAAGCGAGCGAGCTTGGCATTGGTACACACTAAACTACTCGCCGATATTTCGATTTCCCACGTGCGACACGGCATCTCTACCCATCATCGAACTCCCTCATCTCTCCATCAAGCTCGCTACATATATGCTCACAACGCCGCGGCACACCAGCCATAAGCACAGAGCACTTGAACTCCAAGCAGCAGCAGTAGCATCACATCTCGACTACTAGCTAGTTTCAGTCACAGGCCGGCCGCTCAAAGCTAGCAGCAGCTGCTGGGTGCTGGCTGCTGCTTAACCACCAGTCCGGTCTGATCTACAGGCAGGGGCAGAGCCGCAGCCAGGCGCGCGCCATGATTAACCTGAACCTGAAGCAGCCTCTCATGCTGCCCGCGCACCAGAGCAATGTCGTCGGCTCGCGCCTAGCGTCGTGGCCCTCAGCGGCGGCCGTCGTCAGCAGGCGGAGGGGCGGCGGCGTGTCCTCCTCCTCCTCCCGGTCCCGGTCGTCCCGGCGGCACATGCGGCTGCCGAGGATCAGCTGCAGCGCCACCGAGGAGGTCAGCGGCGCCGTGGCGTCCGTCACCGTGGAGCAGATGCTGACGGTGTCGGCCACGGTGGAGGCGTCGCCGGCCATCGGGCAGATGTACTTCCAGCGCGCCCTCGACGACGTCCGCGACCTCCTCGGCAAGACGCTGCTCATGGAGCTCGTCAGCTCCGAGCTCGACGCAAGTGAGTATAGCAGTGATACCGTCAGCTCCGAGCAAGACGCTGCTCATGTCGTCGTTGGCTCGACACAGCACGCGCGCCACACACGCGTCATCTATCCCCCCTCCACTTCAACGATGGATGAGCGCCTTGCATGCATGCTGCTAGTAGCTGCTCCAACCTAGCTAGCTAGCTCCAACAATGGATGCTAGCTATATCTATATATCCATGGCTATCATATTGCTTAGTGGCTAAACAAAATCTTTACTAAACCTAGTAAAAGTGGTAGATGTGAGTGTTAATAATAATATCTAGTTCAAATATGTGTATATATGTATATATATATATAAGAAGATATATATATTAAGATGCTCTCCACAAAGGACAAAGGGGAGACTACCACAGGCGCAAGACGCCATAACGACTAGACGAGAGTTTGTAGATAACTACGTAGGAAAGAAAGAAATGAAGAAAAATATCTGATCGAGTTTGAGCATGTGGTGGTGGTGGGTGCAGAGACGGGTCTGGAGAAGCCGCGGGTGACGGCGTTCGCGCACAAGACGCTGCGGGAGGGCCACTACGAGGCGGAGTTCAAGGTGCCGGCGTCGTTCGGGCCGGTGGGCGCGGTGCTGGTGGAGAACGAGCACCACAAGGAGATCTTCATCAGGGAGATCAAGCTCGTCACCGGCGGCGACAGCAGCACCGCCGTCACCTTCGACTGCAACTCCTGGGTGCACTCCAAGTTCGACAAGCCGGAGAAGCGCATCTTCTTCACCCTCAAGGTCTTCAGTTGTTTTTCCATGCATGCCTGGTGACTGCTGCAAGAACGACGACGTACGTACCATGCATGGCACTGACTCTTGTTTCACGTGGCGTCGCGTGCGTGCAGTCCTACTTGCCGTCCGACACGCCCAAGGGCCTGGAGGACCTGAGGAAGAAGGACCTGCAGGAACTGCGCGGCGACGGGAGCGGCGAGCGCAAGGCGTTCGAGCGCGTCTACGACTACGACGTGTACAACGACCTGGGCGACCCGGACAAGAACCCCGACCACCAGCGGCCCATCCTCGGCGGCAGCAAGCGGTTCCCGTACCCGCGCCGGTGCCGCACCGGCCGCGCCCGGACCAAGAGGGACCCCCAGATGGAGAAGCGCGACGGGCACCACTACGTGCCCCGCGACGAGCAGTTCTCGGAGGTGAAGCAGCTCACGTTTGGGGCCACCACGCTGCGCTCGGGCCTGCACGCGCTGCTGCCGGCGATCAGGCCGATGCTGGTCAAGAAGGAGCTGCGCTTCCCGCACTTCCCGGCCATCGACGAACTCTACAGCGACGGCATCCCGCTGCCGGCGCAGACCGGATTGGACGCCATCCGCAGCGTCGTCCCGCGCGTGGTCAAGCTGGTGGGGGACACCACCGATCACGTACTCCGCTTCGAGGTCCCGGAGATGATAGAGAGTAAGATAAGCTTAGCTACTAGCACTAGGCACTCCGCACTGGCACTGCACTGCACCCGTGACCCGTGGTTGGAATTGGAAATGGAAGCAAATCAATACTAAATGGCCGGGTTTGCATTGCTTTGTTGCAGGGGACCGCTTCTCGTGGTTCAAAGACGAGGAGTTCGCGAGGCAGACGATCGCGGGGCTGAACCCGCTGTGCATAAAGCTCCTGACGGAGTTCCCCATCAGGAGCAAGCTGGACCCGGAGGTGTACGGCCCGGCGGAGTCCGCCATCACCAAGGAGATCCTGGAGAAGCAGATGAACTGCGCCATGACCGTGGAGCAGGCGCTGGCGGCGAAGCGGCTCTTCATCCTGGACTACCACGACGTGTTCCTGCCCTACGTGCACAGGGTGCGGGAGCTGCCGGACACGACGCTCTACGGCTCCCGCACCGTCTTCTTCCTCACGGACCTGGGCACGCTCCTGCCGCTGGCCATCGAGCTGACGCGCCCCAAGTCGCCGACGAAGCCGCAGTGGAAGCGGGTGTTCACGCACGGGCCCGACGCCACCGACGCGTGGTTGTGGAAGCTTGCCAAGGCGCACGTGCTCACCCACGACACCGGGTACCACCAGCTGGTCAGCCACTGGCTGCGCACGCACTGCTGCGTGGAGCCCTACATCATCGCCGCCAACCGGCAGCTCAGCCACCTGCACCCGGTGTACCGCCTCCTGCACCCGCACTTCCGCTACACCATGGAGATCAACGCGCTGGCCAGGGAGGCGCTCATCAACGCCGACGGCATCATCGAGGAGTCCTTCTGGCCGGGGAAGTACGCCATGGAGCTCTGCTCCGTGGCGTACGGCGCCACGTGGCAGTTCGACACGGAGGCGCTGCCCAACGACCTCGTCAAGCGTGGGCTCGCCGTGCGCCGGGACGACGGCGAGCTGGAGCTCACCATCAAGGACTACCCCTACGCCCACGACGGGCTCATGGTCTGGAACTCCATCAGGCAGTGGGCGGCCGACTACGTCAACGTCTACTACAAGTCCGACGAGGCCGTCGCCGCCGACCCGGAGCTGAAGGCGTTCTGGGACGAGGTGCGCAACGTGGGCCACGGCGACAAGAAGGACGAGCCGTGGTGGCCCGTGCTCAACACCCGCGACAGCCTCGTGGAGACGCTCACCACCATCATGTGGGTCACCTCCGCCCACCACTCGGCCGTCAACTTCGGCCAGTACCACTTCGGCGGCTACTTCCCCAACCGCCCGACCACCATCCGGAAGAACATGCCCGTGGAGGAGGGCCAGGACGAGGAGATGAAGAAGTTCCTGACGCAGCCGGAGACGACCATGCTGGAGATGCTACCCACGCAGATGCAGGCCATCAGGGTCATGACGACGCTGGACATCCTGTCGTCGCACTCGCCCGACGAGGAGTACATGGGGGAGTTCGCGGAGCCGTCGTGGCTGGCGGAGCCCATGGTGAAGGCGGCGTTCGAGAAGTTCAGCGGCAGGATGAGGGAGATCGAGGGATTCATCGACGAGTGCAACAACCACCCGGAGAACAAGAACCGGTTTGGAGCCGGGATCGTGCCGTACGAGCTGCTCAAGCCCTTCTCCAAGCCGGGAGTCACCGGGAGGGGCATCCCCAACAGCATCTCCATCTGATCGACTGATCCGCAGCATTAGTTTCTCGGTATCAGGCTCTTTCAGCTCCACCTCCAATGGGAGGTTGCATTATTGCACGCAGAGGCTGCTTGTCAAATAAAATGTACTCTGTACGATTGTATTGCACCATGGATTATACATTTGAGTTACTACCATTTACTACCAAGCTACTAACATGACATTACTAACAGAGCATTTTTTATTTTACCGTCTTTAGAACTTAGAATGCACAAGAAATACCGCCAGATTATAACCGGCCCGGAGGGGAGATCAAAATTTGGCAAATACTCTCTACGTATAATTGACCTAGAAAACAAAAGGTAAAACAACTTTATACATTTTAAAACGACTAGATACCGTACCAATTTCTAGTACCCTGTCTACGTACAGTATAATTTTGAGATACCTTCCCAGTAGGAAAAAGATCACCTCACTGGTAACTCGTGAAATGAGGTACTGTAGTAAAAATGACCCTGCAGGTGTTAGAATAATCCAGACTTTCAACAGAGCAGCAGAACACGTACAAACGACAGGCTGATCAATTTCTCTCCGTGCATCACGAACACCACAGCCGAGATCGAAATATGCTGGTTTCGTCACGTATCATCCAAAAATATTCACAGGAAAACATGTGAACCCAGTGCCATGGGCATGGGCGCTTCAGGACCAAGCCAGATCGGATCATCGGATGCCGCTGGAAGCCAATGTCCACTGGCTAGCTAACACTTGTTATATCCACAGTTTCACAGACAGCGAACATATATACAAATACAGCAGACTACAGGAAGTGAGATAGGGGCCACCAGACCTGTCAAACTGGAGATGCTACAGTCCAAAGAAAAAAAAACTGGATATGGACAAACCACAAAAGAGCACCCAAAATATCATCCCCATGTGGGCTCAGATTACTCTGGTCCCAAAGAGACGGGTAAAGAACTCGCGTAAGTAGTAACTGTACGGGTAGAGATTAAAAAAAAATTGTACGGGTAACCACTAACCAAGATTGAACCAGTTTCTCCAGGAGTAAGAGACTGGACGGAGTTTGTTGTACTGCTTTCTCCGTTGACAACGTCTGTGGTATCTACCCGTACTCCAGTCCTTGGTAGTCAGGGCGTTTAACACAGCAGCTTTGACCATCACCAATTGGCATGGGTAAGAAATGCGGAAAGAGGTGCGACACGGTCGAGAACTCGAGATGCTTGGGAGTGCCATCGAGTAGATAAGGCAGCATAAGACCCGGAAGAATTGGAGAAGAACAAGCATTCATCACCGGGATATGCAGCTCTCTGTTCCACCCTGATTGACTGATGAAAATAATCAATGTAATGACAAGAGCTTAAGCAGAAATAAGAAGCACTATCCAGTGAAATACCAGTAGAGGACGGCTCAAAATACGGTCGGGTTGTTATGAAAGAGGGGTCCTGAGCATCAACCTCCAAGTGCTGTGTTGTGCTAATCTTTTGAAGACCTGTTGATTCGACAAGCTTTACTAATTTGTCTGCTATGATTGTCATTGGCGGGCGGAGATCTGGTGATTGCTGCATTGTGGAAGAAATACCATGACTCCATGAGTAATTGTAACTTGTGGTAAAGTCTAATTGATTAATCTTTTTACGTCATCAGAATTGCCGCAACAATATATTATCAGCCCTAATGCTTGACGATTTATATACACAAAAACTCTAAGCCTTTCAACTAGCACCAGGCACGCTCCTCCACAACTTACACAGTCTGCAGAGCTCAAAAGTTAAATGCGAATATGTACCAGGAAAGAGAATGGAGAACTACCTTGACGCAAAGCAAGATGATAATGCCTAATGAAGATATAGCTTTAGGTGGCATAGAGCCCCTTATTCTTGGATCAGTTATTCTTTCCAGTGAATCAAGATCATCAAGATGAGGAGCTGCCCAATCTACTAGAAACTGCTCGTTTGGCCTTCTTGAACTGAAGAGGAAAAGACTCTTTAGTTAGAAATCCAGACTGCAACTTAGGTACAGAAGAGAACAGAGAATACGTACCTGTCAAAAGCCTTTTGCCCAGTCAAAAGCACAAGCAAAATAACACCAAAACTGTAAATATCAGCTTTGATGCCATCTGCTCCTGGATCACTGAGCTCAGGGGCAGCATAGCCTTTAGCACTGGTGATAGCTTCTGAATCCTTCTGTTCAGGTGAGGAAGTGTTATTTTAAAGAACATAATCAAATGAGCAACCATTAATGGCCAGCTGATCAAGTTATAGGAATTCAATTTGAAATATTCAGCAAGCAAACATAAAAGCAACATTTGTTTTTTTTAACAAAAAACAATATTTATTATCACACATTTTTTGGGAGAACAGGGTACAAGTAGTTCTAGGGTACACAATACACTAACAGGCTTAATATGTTTGGAGAGAAAACATCAAGCAAGGAAACTAAACAAATTACACCAATATTTCATAAGTACCAACATCCGAGAGTATGTTCAGTAATAAATCTCAGTTTTGAATAAGATGCAGTTTCTGTTTTGAATTCATATTCCAATCAGGAGAGGCCATCGTTTATGCATTAGGATAAAACGGATGATCGGCGTTCAAGGTGCAACTTGATCCTAGAATTAATTGAATACTCCCTCAGTTCCAAATTATAAGTTGGCTTTTTTAGGTACATAGCTTTTGCTATGCACCTAGAATTCTAGATATATAGCAAAATCTATGTACTCCCTCCATTCCATATTATAAGACGTTTTTGCTTTTCTAGATACATAATTTTGCTATGCACTTAGACATACACTATGTCTAGATAAATAGTAAAAGCAATGTATCTAGAAAAGCTAAAATGTCTTATAATTTGGAACAGAGGGAGTACCTAGAAAAGCCAAAACGACTTATAATTTGGAACGGGGGAATTAGATAACTGTATAGTCATACTAAAGATTACATACAAAGTAGTACTACTATCCTTGGTAACAGGGAAACATGAGGACACTGACCATTCTTGTGGTGTTGACAAAATGGCTTAACTTGGTTAACCCACTGTCACAGAGGTAGGGCATGAGCTGAGCATCAAGCAAAATATTTCTAGCTTTAATATTTCCATGGGCAACTGGAGGGGAACACGTCAAGTGCATGTATCTGCACAGATAAAGATACATATAAAAATTGGGAAAGCTAATGCCCATATAAAATTTCAAAAATTAAAAGAGGGGTCCACTCTAACTAATACTTTTGGTGTTTTGCACTAAGAAAAAGCCCCTATTAGTGCAAATATATGTAATTGATAACCACGCTGTACAAAAAAAAGAAGGTGAAAGTAATTTGCTCAGAGTGTAAATCTTACTCCAGAGCATAGGCAACTCCAAGAGCAATCTTCATCCGAGCTTTCCATGACAAAGCCCTGGATCTTGTGGCTGCTGAAAACAGAATATCAGCAAGAGAGCCATTTTCGGCGTACTCATATAGAAGCGCACAATGTCCAAATTCCACACAATATCCCACAAGCGCACTGATATTGGGGTGCTTTAATCTGGAGATATTCCAAAGCATGTCCATTAATTTATCCTGTTCTGATAATGACAGATCTACCATGTCAATCCTCTTGATAGCCAGGAGCTGTGAACATATTGAGAAATTTTTAGTAAAATTATAGAGAAAATCATGACCGCTAGGAAATTTGGTAAACCCATACTTCAATATTTAGAAAAATCACAAAATTTTTATGTTACTGAAGAACAAATTTGCATTAAGACAATGAGAACTTATTTCAGGAGCAACATATTACACTACAAATTCCATCCTCCTTGCACCTTAAAGGTACATCTTATCAAGACTCAAAGACATCAATAAAAAGAAAAGCATGTGCTTCCTCCCCTCACAGTAACCCCTCTCATCACAACCTAACCCGTACTTCAATATTTAGAAAAATCACAAAAATTTTATGTTACTGAAGAGCAAATTTGCATCAAGACAATGAGAACTTACTTCAGGAGCGATATATTACACTACAAATTTCATCCTCCTTGCACCTTAAAGGTATATCTTATCACGACTCAAAGACATCAATAAAAAGAAAAGCATGTGCTTCCTCCCTCACAGTAACCCTCTCATCACAACCTTTCTCTGGTCAGAGAAGGCCCAAACTGCTTAAACCTGATGTCCACTATCCAACACAGCCGGATAGGTAAACAGCGGCTTGTTACTCATGCAAGCAGTAAATAGGAATTCCCAGAACAAGAAAGAAGAAAGAGCCTGCAGCACGGAACACTGACAAGCAAGCTTTCATGCCGAGACAGGGAAAAAAATCAATTTGTGGATATGTGGATGAGATAGCAGTAGAGCACACTTCAGCTATTAGGGGTCTGAAATGCATGTTGTATTAAATCATGTCATAAAATCTTCCTCAAGATTAAGTGACAATTAATAATACTATTTTCCAACAAGGATACTACATAAGAGAGAAGACAACAATATTTGTATATTTATTATCAAACTACCATACCTGGCCATCAGAAAAATCACCTCTATAAACTCGGCCAGTGAGACCTTCACCAATAAAACATTCTTCATTGAAGTCCCTGGTAGCCGCTAGAATGTCCGCAGCTGGAAACTGCTTTGCAGTTAGAAGGTTTTTAGATGTCTTGAACCAACTTTTTATTTTGGGAACTCTTTCAGATGTAATGCCATTACTAGATGAAGTATCACTGCCAATCAATAGAGAACTCCAAGAGTACAGGACCTCATTTGCTTTAGGGACTATAAAATGGAAAACAGCATGAGTTTTAGTGATGTGAAATAATCTTAGTCTATCCTGTAAATAAAGAACGCAGCATCAAAGAATGAAAAGCAAACATATGTACATGGATGCATTTAACAAATGTGCCTTGAAAATAACGAACAGTTCAGGTTTTATGATGAGTCCTAGATTTACAGTTCGGATCCTAGATTTGTAATGAAAATAAAATAGAATTCTAGCTATCGGTATCAGTTACAAATGGATGAATATTTTATGATTGAACAATTTAAATTCCCATGTGTACCTGTTTCCATATTGGCTGGTAAAGTCTTGGCATGGTTAGAGGTGCTCTTAGGGTTGCATGAACAGCTTCTCTGACTTTTCAGAACCAATCCAACAATGAGGAGTACAAACACTGTACATGTGGCACTAGCTATTGCAGCAGCTGTCACTCGAGAGTGTGACTTCCTATGGTGGCTATTATTTTCCAGAGAAGAATAACCAAAAGAAGGCTTTAGAGATTTTGGCCTTTGCTTTGGTTTCTGTTTAGCTGCTGGTGGAGGTGGAGGTGGAGATTGAGTTGGAGGTGGAGACAAAGATTGAGGTGGATCTGGAGGGGTCCTCCTAGTAAATGAGGACGATGCATGTTTGAAACCAGGTTGAAATTGGTTTCCATCAATCCTGGAATGTTGACCACAAAGTTAATAATTTATTTAGCTAGATATGAAGCCAAGACACGTAGAGATAGGCAGAGAGGAGGGGGAGGAGGGCAAAGTATAGCAGAATTCAATACCTCAGCTCAGGAATGGACTGAAATGGTCCAGGAACATAGCCACTGAAGTGATTATTTTCAGGCCCTGTTTGGTTGGGCTTTTGGCTTTGGCTTTTGGCCCCAAAAGCCAAAAGCCCAACCAAAGGGGCTGTTTTTGGAGGGTGCTTTTTCAGAAGCAGCTGCTTTTCCGTAGTTCATTTTTGAAAGCTGGGTTGACCCTGCTTTTGACTTTTGGCTTTCTGTTTTTCGAAATTGGTGGAATAAAAAGCTCTTCCATAATTGTTTCAAGAGAGATAAAGATAAAAGGTATATTTTATACTTGTTTAACCAAACAGCTTTCAGCTTTTCTACAGCTCACAGCCCACAGCAGCTTTTCCACAGCTCACAGCCCACAGCAGCTTTTTTCCACAGCCACAGCTCAACCAAACAGGGCCTCAATATTGCTGTGCCAAAAAATTTATGATCATCAGGATCAAGAGTTAAGCTGCATAAAATGCAGGAAAATATATTTAAGCAACAAATCCAGTCAGAATTCTTACAGGGATGACAATGGAAGGCCTGCTAACAAAATCACAGATCCTGTGAACTCGTTATGATGTAGATAACTGCAAATGCAAAAACGAGAAAACCTATATTGAAACAGGTGCTGTGTCCATGTGCATGAAATAGCTGGCTCCAAAGGCAGATCGGTCTTACAGATAGCGAAGGTTCGTCAATGAGCTAAACGATCTTGGTAGGTCACCACTGAAAGCATTGAATGACAGATCCCTGAAAACCAGGGTGGGGGATAAACTTCACATGAGTCGATAAAGATCAAATAAATTGGGACATTTTTGTTTGCAAGGATAATCAGGATATGAGAATGCCATGAAGGGTGGAAACAAAACTGCTCTAGCATCAAAATGTGCACTTTTTCAACAACTAAAAATGAACAGGTGGAAACCTGTTTGAAGGAAGCACAGAACAGATCTTAACCAAAAGAAAAAGAAAAAGGAAATGAAGTGCAGACATTTAGGACAGCTTGCTGTGCACACACAACATATTCTACATGATAGGAACAAAACACATCAAACCATCCATTGTGAATGATAAAACATCATACAGCCATCGGTCAGATGCAAGAAAACATGTATGGGCACAACTGAGTAACCGCAAGGACCATATCCACAAATGTATTAGATGAATAAAAGCTAGCAAACGAATGTGTAGACACTAATGTACTGCTGAAGTTTCTACTGTAGATGCATACATTAAAGGAAGAATTCCCATGTCTTATTGCCAATGTTATATTAATGAACATCAAAGGGAGATAAAAAATCACTTCCAACTGGACAGATGACCGAGTAATTAAGATGAGCGAACCTACATCGTTTCTAAGCTATCCATGTTAACAAAAACATCACCAATTACTCCAGAGAGTTTATTGTAGCTAAAGTTCCTGCCACAAAAAGTTACACATCGGTCAGTTAATTGTACAACCAGATTACAGAATGTGAAACACTCCATTCAAAAAAATACACTCACAGATATTTCAGGGAGTGCAACCATGGTAATGATGATGGTATATTCCCTTCAAACTTGTTGGCTGCCAGATTTCTGCAAGAGAACAACCATAGGCACATAATTTGTATTTAATATTTTAAGTATTGAGTCAGTTAAAGGTGATATCCAAAGAAGGGAAAAGGGGCATACAAGTATTCCACATTTGGGGGCAAAGTGGGAGGGATTTCACCAGCAATGTTATTGAAGCTCATGTCCCTATCATCAACATGAGAAGAAAAGCACCACAAACTAAATTGAATCAAGAATTGCGAAGTCAAAACCAGCTAGCATTGTACAGAAACTTGGGAATTAGAAGCTCACAGCTTTTTCAACGACTGAAACTTTAGCATATCTGGGCCAAGCCATCCTCCAACTCCGAGCCCGCTAATATTTCTGCATGTGAGTAGCAGAGCAAATAACAAAGCCAGTTGATCAGCTTTCTATTAATTTGTAAGCAAAAATAATCAAAAAGTTAATGAGCTAATTTAAGAATTACATTGCGACAATGGACGATCCCTTGCAAACGACGCCTCGCCAGTGTTTACTCCCTCTACCCTCACCGCATGGATCACCGCCCTGGAATGTCCAACCAGAGAGCTGCCACAGCGACTCCAATGTGCGATATAACCCCCAAAGTCCTAATGCTGCGAAGCAGCAAAAACAATGTGACAAAATAAGCACAATACAACAAACCTGTTGGAACCTACTGCTTACAAAGTCACAACTTCAGAGCACCAAAAACACAGAGAGACAACAGAATTGCATCCCAGTATCCCACCAAGGTATTTGAGCAAAGGAAAACAAGCATGGTCGGAGTATTGTGTACCCAGGGTTAAATGCAACGACCACTATCAATCCCATGTGTGAGCATGCACAGATGAGAGATGAGATGACTATCCCGGTCTCGCGATCGTAGCCAACCATCACAGAGCAAAATTCAATAGCAAGCATGCATAGACGCACGCACAGGTGCGCCCAAAATGAACCACCTCAAACTACAAGCAAGTGCCAGACAACGTGCAAGCGACTACATTCACACGCGCGCTGGGAACCGAATTGACAAACACTGACTCGGAGACGCCACAAGCGCGACGAGTAGAGCATGCCACGGGATAAGTGCTGGATGGCCGTAACCTACGGGACGAGGGGCCAGGATACTCACCATCAGGGGGGTCGGTGAAGGACGCGGCGGAGGCGAACAAGGCGCAGAGCATCGCCACGCCGAGGAGGTGGCGCGCCGCCCCCATTCCAACCCCTCGCGGCGCACCCAGTGAATCCGCCGCGCCGGTCCCCGCGAAATCCTGGGTCGGCTCGGGCAATCCGGGGCGCGGACCGGAGCAGGGCGGGCCCGAACGTTCTGGAAGCTTCCGGGAACCGCGCGCTTGCGACACCGTTTGAATTCCTCCCCCCCCAATTCCGCGCCGACCGCAAGATCGCGCTCGGATCACGTACCAGATCGCGGATTGGAGGAGCAAGGCAGCCGTAGCGGGGCGAATCGCCTGGTGTGGCCTGCGGAATGATGCGGGTGCTTCCGAGATGGTGAGGGTTTTGGGGGTTTTGGTTTGGTGCGGACGGAGGCTTCGGTTTTTGGGAGGGAAAAAGAGGAGGGGAGGAAAGAGTGCGGAGGAGGGACGGTTGTCACATGTACGGCGCGTGAGGCCAGCCCCAACGCACAACGGTGCCATGTCATCGAGCATGTACAATGTCACACATGTTAGAGTGTCTCCAATAAGAGCATCCACAGTGTGTCAACCCATCTTTGGGTCTTAACTGGAGCCCACAACTGATTAGACGTCACATTTTCTTCTATCAGCAATATATCGAACCTAGCATGAGTCCATACGTGGGCCCAAAATCAAATGCACCCTCCTCTCCTTTGCGCGAGCAGCAATGTCAGGAAAGAGTTTTTTATTTCTTCGACCCAGGTTCCATGCGAAGGAGCCGGTCCTTCATCGAACCATGGTTGCAGTGTATAGGATCGGGTTCCATCTTAGCATTTATTGTATCGCACCGGCTTCGACCCTCCCACTGCGGATGCTCTAACATGACCTATTCCTAAAAATGTGTCGTGCACAGTATTTTAATGGCAAAAAACAGGTTCTAACCGAGTAGGCAAACACAACACCCATTTTGGGTCGGAGGCGACGCAGAAGGCCAAAAAACATCCTCCCTCCATCATTTTTGTCTCCGCCAGGCCCACCACCACGAGGGAAGGGGACAACCGGAGCCGGCTCAACACGGCAGCCGCGCGGCAGCTCCGCCTCGCCGCGGCCAGCATCGAGGGGGGCTCCGCATCGCCGCCCCAGATCCGCGTCGCGCCCTCACCGCCGCCTCGGATCTGGGGAGGGCCACCATGGTCGGGTGCCTTGCCCGCTCGTAGGCGCGAGATGAGGGAGGCGCGCTGCAGCACTGTCGCCATGTCCGCCGCCGCAGGTGGGGCAGGAGGATGCGCGCCGCCGGTGGGGAGAGGAGCCGCCGGCCTTGGCTGCCTTGCCGGATCTGGACCCGCTCCCCCGCCACCGGCGATGAGCAGCGCAGCGTGGGGGCGGAGGTGCTCATTGGCGCTCGCCCAGCGCTCGCCGGATCTCGCAGGGAGGGAACGCCAGAGGGAGGGAGGGAGGCGGCAGCAGCGGAGCTCCCACACGCCCGCCCAAGGGAAAGAGGAACTTCGTCCGGGGGCTGGGACAGGTCCGCGGCGGGAGCAGGCCGCGGCCGGGGTTGCGCGAGAGCGAGGCGCCCCGCGCACCGTGTGGCACGTAGGACCGGCCGGTGTGGTCGCGAGTCCGCTGCGCAGAGGGCAGGCCGGGGCGGCGGAGAGGACCGGAGTCGGCGTTGCCGGAGATCGAGTGGGTCGGCCGCGGCACGTAGGGCAGGCTTGGGCGGCGGTAGCGGCAAGCGGCGCAGGGGGAGGGGGCACGAAGACCGGGGTGCCCGTGGACGCCGTGGCGGCGTCGGTGGATCCGGCCGTAGGAAGTTTTGAGGTCGCACTGTTGGAGATTGAAAGTTTTGGGTGCACGACCTTTTTACTGTACGTGCCTAAACCATAGTATGGGTCTCTATTTTAGATTTCTTCTGTCGGAGATAGTCTTAGGGCAGCAATGCAAGCTAACAGTGTCACGTAAAAGAAAGATCCACATAGACTAAGCATCAAATGCCCCAGCGCAGATATATACATTAATTGGTTGTGCGGTGACCAGCGCAATGTTGCTCTGTCATATGCACTGTAACTTTTTGATGCGCGCGATAGAGTCCTTTTTCCAGCCACAAGCGCACAACGCGTGTTGGAACGGCGGCTCTAACCTTTTGTTAGACCAAGCAGCCGCATCTTTTGCAAGCGCTTCTGACATGCTGCGAAGCTAACACTCAAGCTGATGTGGACGCTGGATGCAAACGTGGATGCCGGGGTATACATACAGGATGGAGCGTGGGACACGACCTTAGTAGTGTCACAGATCGTCAAAGCCTCAGTAGCCTGTCTGATGCACAACATAAGCACACACTGAAACCAGCGCTGTGGCGAGATAGAACTCACTTCGCTAGGAGAGAAAATCAAAGCAAGGAAAAAGCATCCACATGTCCATCTTTTTGGCTCTTCAAAAGCAGCAAAGTGACAGGGTAAAAATAAACTGAGGCTCGGTAGATGGTAGTCTCCTCACTCACTCTCTTCATCCCTGTGGACTTAAACTTTTTTATTATAGGCTAATGATGTTATATGCCCGGGTTGGTAGTGCCCTAAGCGGCAATAGACCGGACGGATTATAATGTTGGGAAGACTCAATTTTGTTTAAATAAACTAGTATGCCATAAAATTGTTTTATACAAATGAGAAAAGTAAACAATATGACAACATATGCGGAATTGCGAACGTGCTGGATTCCACCACCAGCCTCACTTAGCCTTACTTTGCTTACACCGGCGAGCCAATGCTTGTTTGTTTTGCCACGTTAACATCATCGTCTAGCTGTGATTAAAATTTATTGATTTTCACTTGCTTTTTCAGGCAAAATATGTATATAATAATTAGCATTTATATGTAGAAACAAACTAATACAAGCGCATGATGATCCAATTCTGAATACTTGCATAAAATTCGAAGTAGTAATGGTTAGCTTCATGTAATTTGCAGAGACTACAGGATATTTTCGGCTTAAGAAAGATATTGAAACATACCTATTTCAAGTTTTCAACACAATCACTAACGAGGACTTATAAGCTCACTATGGATCCAGTATTTTTCCTACTCACATCATCAAAAGCATACGAAGTGTATACCTACTGCAGAATTGGATCTAAAAGAATTTTTTTTTCTTGAATACGCAGGAGAGCTACATATCATTGTATTAAGAGAGAGAAAAAACGGTCCCATACAATTATACCCCTTACTCCGGACCGAGCCGTAGGAGGGTCCTGAAACAAAGTTTTTCTAACCAATAATAACACACACTTTGGGTGAGACCTGACCAACACTCTAACTGCCTACCTACCCTGTCGCTAGAGCTGGACCTAAGGCATCAAACTTCCGTGCACCCGCAAGACACCACAAGTGGTGTTCATCGCTAAAGGCACGCAACAGGTCATTTATGTTGGGACTGGCACCCTCAAAGACGCAGAGAAATTCATATCGAAGATGGATAATTTTTAGCACATCTGAGAGCATACTCCTTGATGGCCTTCCCTTCAACAAACCAGCAGTCTTCTCATTATTCGCTAACTACTCTTGTTACTCAAGTCGAACAAATAATGGGTATTCCTCCATGGCATCAATTGTCTCGAATAATTCTTCATTTGGATACTCACATCACTGAAACACATGATGTATGTCATATCACGCAAAATACATGAGTCACCTCTTTGATCACACATCATCATGCTTAGTCATCTTTACTTTTTCAGTCTTGCCAGCACACAGCAGTAGGATGCTTGCTAGATCAGCTTCCCTCATTATTGTCCTCGTCTTCGTCTGAATCCTACTGCAAATCAAGATCAACACAATGATTTACATTTTTATTACTAATTAAATCTCCATCCTAAATGGAAGGAAGATCATATGATGCCTAACGAACAGTTAAATCGGTTGCATGCTTATCCTGAAAGACGAATTTCATCTCATCATAGAAATAGATGGGGACGTTGTTAATAAATTTCGCCCTTAGACATATATGTCCTACACATATCCGGTACAAATTTTCATACTTTACTACACTTCACAAGTAGTATAACCAAATCAAATTTGTAAGGATAGAAATATTTACATTCTACATCCTTATAGCCTCTGTTTCATCATAAAGTATTTGTTTCTCCACTTTGTCAAAGTCCGTTCCACTTAGTCCACTTAAATTTGAACATCTTAATCATTTGGTGCAACCTCCATCCTCACCATTGAAGCGGAACGATTAGCCACCTTAACCATGGTACGATTCAATTCGAAAACATTTGGTGGTCAAATTGGTAGACTCTAGATACCAATTATATATCATGGTCTTGGATACCCAATTACCAAATCGACACAAGCAAGAGAGAGTTACTTCAATTCCATGATAGGTTCATGCAATCACATATACAATTTGGTAGCTAGAGGATCAAAGACACAAAAGAGAACTCGGAAGTGGAAAAAACAAAGTAGGCTAGAGATGAGCAGTTGAGCGCTTGATCCTGTGCATCGATTCGTAGGTGGTTGCTGCAATGGAAAAAGGGTAGATGTTGTGTTAGGTCAATAGGAGTAGATGGGAGGGCGTTTATATCGCTGCTATTGGTCTTAATGGTGTGCTACACAGTGATAGACCTCTATTGTGCTTCTAGCAAAGGGACAACTAAGGATTCTTTTGCAATTTTTGTTGGGACATCAGGTCGGCCCACACCTGACCCCACTTTGCTTTAGTCCAAAATTGATGGCCCGCACCCAACTGACATGTCGTCTGGGTCAAGTATTTTTAGACAGACCAGATTAGATTTAGCAGGTCAAGTAGCGCATGACTAGGTCTAGATCTTTCCTTTCCTCAACCTTCCCCAAAATGTTTATAAAATTTCTTTTTGAAGAGCTTTTCCCAAAAATGGAAAATGCTTCTATCAATTTTTTTTCCTCTGAGTAAAAGTACCCATTTTCCATGCGCACGAAAAGCATAATCCAAAGCCCCTTGTTGGGAGATGTGTTTTCAATGTGCATGAAAAGCATAATCCAAAGGCCCTTGTTCGGAGATGTGTGATAGCAATCGCTAGTGCATCGAATAGCGGGGCCCTATTTACCCAC